AAATTTTCATTCTTAGGGAACAACTTTGTATGTGAATAGTAATATAAACAGCATTTTTCATAAAGAAGAAAGTGTTTCAGAAGATAACTTGACGTTTACCTTACTGACGTTATAAACAGTGTCTGCACTTTACCTCCTGGCCATCCATTCTCTCATGAAAATAAAAAGACGGGGAAGTAAATAGTTATCTTGAGTATTACAGTATGGTACACATGCTATTTCCAATTTTGTACAGGAAATATTCAAGCAAGGGATTCTGTAGTTCACATAATTTAACATTAGCAACTAAACCAAGCAACATTCTTTAAACACAGCACCAAAGAGGCTTCTCCATGTATGCTTGGATAGTATTTCTTAAGCTTTCAATATGAAGGACTATTAATTACCATACTGTAATCCATGGAATTATTCCTTGTGGGATAATTATGTAAAACAAAATTTTGCTTACAAATGTGATGTGGGGGAGTGTTGTTTCTCCTTTGTAGCTTTTCTGCCGTGCATTTGCATAGTTTTACCCTGAAGACCATGTGCTTATTATAGATCCAAGGTGAGGCGAGAAAAGAAGCAACCAACTGAACTTGCAGCCTCAATCGACTTACAAGTGAAACACCTATCTATGTGCTTTCAAAGCTGTGTTTCCATAGAGATATCATAAATTATCTTTTAGGTGAAGATTTTAACAGAAACCAGGAAGCACTCTGAATGGATGATACTATTGTATAAAGCAAGAAAGCCATAATTCCATCTGTCTGTCTGTTCGCCCATCCTTATTACTTTATTTGCACACATAACTCTCAAACCCTCGTTAACAGCTTCAGAATAGAGAACCTCAAATCACCATTTCAGAAAGTTTACGATGTACATTTGTAGTGAGAGTTTGCCACAGATAATCTATTGGACTGTAGTCCACCAAGTATTAAAAATAACTGTTCATGGGGAAAAAAAGAGAAATGTTGCAAGGCTATTCTTAGCCCTGGTGCTTGAGGTTAAGATGTGAGGGGGAAGGGAGCTGCTAAACACCTCGTCCCAGTGGTTTCTGGCTAGGGTGTTTGAACCCTTTGGGTAAAGTAGTAGACCTCACCTGTCTTGAACACACCTTCCTGAGGGAAGCCTTATTGATTTCCCTGCCTGTCCTTTTCCTCACAGTCACTGAAAATACTAAACCATTACCCTGTGTTTGCCCTGATTAAAAATGCTGCCTCTGCCCATTCATTAATTTGCAAGTCACTATGTGGTCATGGATAGAAATTTGTGTCGACTGATAGGTTATGTGACAAAATTCATTAGCATGCTGTTTCCTAATTAGTGAAGTAGCAGTCAAAAAGGACTCGACTCTGTAGCAGCACATTATTTCTTCCATTAAGGCCTATCATCTTTATAGTTGTAAGATTTAACTATATGTGCCTATGTCTTACAAAAATAAAAGAATTAACCATCTAAGACATCCTGAGACTAATGTCAAAATGATTCCCGTGGAATTCTGTCTGTTCTGAGAGTCCCAAATCGAGGCTGCATTCTACGCAAGGCAGGATTGAGAAAGGAACGTAGCAACTGTGATTTGAAGTTGTCCTTAAAAGAGAATAGTGCCCTACAAAGGTTGGAGGATTGGGGAAGGGGGAGAATAAGCCAGCAAAACCAAGAAAGCCCCATCGTAATCTATGAGAACAATATACGGCTGCATCGTGTTCACTAGAGTGGAAGAATTTAGACATGATTTTAATGGGAAATATTTGGAGTTGACCAGACTTCCTTTTTTCCTTTCTTGGGTCTGTGGCTCTGCGCAAGAAATAGAAATAATGTGTATGCCTTCATCCCAACCTAAAAAATAAGTCAGTGTAAGAATTAACAGAGATTAGTACATTTTGGATAGGGATGGCACGTTATTATGTAAATAATGAGATCGTAAATGTTGTTGTTTTGTGGGTCCTATGGACTTAGTTGTAATTTCTCAACTCTGCCAATGTAGTACTGAAGCAGCCTAGATGATACATAAACAAATGTGTCATAAACTGTGTTTACAAAAATAGTCTCCTAGCTGGATTTGGCCACCGCAGGACTTAGTTTGTACCCCCCAACTCCCTCCACTAATTTGGGTGGAAGTTAGAAGTGATTCTGGGAAGACTGTCTTCTTGTCTAGATTTTTAGCCAATCCCTCCAGCATCAGTTCTTCTTCCATCATCCACATCATTGTCATTTTCACGTGCCTGCCATGCCATTGAGAAAACCACGGCAGGGATGAAGGTGCCTGAGTTCTCAAAGTGACATCTTTGCTTTTTAACACTTTAAAGAGGTTTTGGGTACCAGATTTGGCCATTGCAAGACATGGTTTGTTTTCTGGGATTGCTGGCTCCATGGATACTGTTTATGGATACTAGTAAAATAAAATCATTGACAACTTTAATCTTTTCCCCACTTATCTTGATGGTGCGTATTGGTCCAGTTGTAAGGGTTTTGTTTTCTTGATGGTGTGGAATAATCCTTACTGAAGGCTGGATGGAGGCCTTGCTCCTCATCAGTTAATGCCTAAGTACTCTTCGATTTCCATAGACCAGGGTTTGTTACTACGCAGCTCAGGCTGTTCATTGACCTTCTTTCTAATACTGTGGCCGTGTTCTTCTTTGTAGAGCCAACTTTCTCAGACTGCTTTCTCCATTCAGGTTGAGTACGTTTAGTGAAAGGATGCAACCATGACACACACCTTTCCTGGTTTTAAATCCCCTTGTGCAGTTCAAACGACTGCTGCATGGTCTGTGTACAGGTTCTGCATGGGCATAAAGAAATACTGAATTTTCTAACTTTGCAATGTTTTCCTTAAAACGTTATGATACATATGCCTTTGCATAGTTAACAAAACCCAGGTGAATATCTTGTTGGCATTCTCTGCTTTTAGCCAAGTTTCATCTGACATCAGCAGTGTTTAATGCCCTCTCCTGAATCTGCCTTCAATTTATGTAAGTTCTCTGTTGATGGACTGCTACTACCATCTTTAGTTACCTTCAGCCACCGTTTGCGTGCGTGGGAAGGTGCAGGCCAGCAGTTACTGAAGAGTGGAACTGCCCAATTGGAGATGGTTGGTGCCACGTGGTGTTTGAAGGCTTCACTGGCACTCGCTACAACAGCAACAGGGCGGAGGGAAATCTGCTTATGAGTAGGTCTGCACCATTCAAACCTGTGGTCTTTGAGGGTCCACTGTAGCTTTCTGTATTTTAAAATAACTAGTTAGGGAGGAAACCCCAACCATGTGTTGGAAATACTAGTGAATCTCAACTGCTTCTGAAGAGGCTCAAGCACGCGCGCGCACACACGATAGTTTCTCAGAGATAATTATTTTCTGCATCTATAGTGTCATGCATTTTGTCATCTGTAGGGAGAAATAGAAAGTGTGACAGTAAACATCACATTTTTCCTTTCGTGTCACCATGGTAACTTTTTCTCTGGGTTTTCTAACAGTCCCTATGAAATTTTGGTGCGTGTACGAGATTTTGGATATCATATGAAAAAGAACTTTAATAGGACATTTTCAAAAGCAGTGGAACAGCATTAATGATGATTAGCTAATGGATAGAACATTAAAGAGCAAGACAAATAAAAAGGTTGAAGCGGTACTTAATATCAGTATAGTCCCATTCCTTAATAGTGGTTAGCTAATATGCATTGTACATCAAAATGTTTATCAGTTGACAGCATGATATTCATTTCATATCTTTTTATTGGCCCTGGTTCTGCCTTCAAAAACAGACAAACCATACATTGCAGAGGTGGACCAAGACTGCACAGCAATCAAACACTGAGGCTTACATTGTCCAATGCTTTGTAAATTACCAAATTTAGTGAGTCCGCATCCTCTGCTCACCCATTGTCTTCATATCT